ATACGCCAGTCTTTTAGTGGTGGCTACTACCTGTTACCAATGGGAGCTAGAGTATTACACAAACTGGTTAGTGTTATTGACCAGGAGATGAGGTCAGTGGGAGCTTGTAAGATGTCTGCTCCAATCCTAGCACCTGCTTATATTTGGAAACAATCGGGTGAATTTTTAAAGCATGAGTTAATGCAGTACACGTATGTATAATTATTTCACATTTATTTTATATAAATGTAGTAGATTTTAGCTGATGAATTTTGATGTGTAATTTTTATGATTGCCTAATTTATTTTTATAGCAAAGCCTTTCTAATTCTTAATTATTGTAAAACTGTGATGAAGTGTGTCTGTACTGACCGTCTAACTATTATTAACGTTAAATAGCCTAATCTTTATGATGATTTCATGGCTAGGGGGGGACCCCTTAATGTTTGACATTCTTCTAGTTATTTTCCTTGTGCTATCATTATGTGTAGGACGATGGGAGAGTATTGGTGCTGAACTGTATAGACTGGAGGACAGGCACGAGGCACAGTTTTGCCTTGGACCAGTAAGTCACTGATGTATTAATAGCAGGGGTTTTGATAATAAATTTGACTTTGCACCAAATTGGCTCAAATTTACTCACATTTTGCTCCAATTGACTGTATTTTTTCCTCAAAAATAGCAAAACAATAGCATTATTTTTTTGTCGATTTCTTAATGATTGTTATAATTATGGGGCTAGGGCCGTAGCAAACTGGATTGGGCCAATTGAGTGCCAATTTGGCTTATCAAAACAGTGATTAATACTGAAGTAGGGATCAACATAAATAATAATAATAATCAACCCTAACTAACTATTAATAGTAGTTATTTCATGTTTTATAAGTTCTCTAGTATATCTATTGCATTCATTATCTTCTCTATTTCTTTGTACTAGTAATTGTTGTTGAACATTTTTTATTGTTTTATTCTAGACGCATGAAGAGATGTTTACTCATTTGGTGGCTACTGAAAATATAAGCTATAGGTCACTACCACTCCGACTGTATCAGGTCAGTGTATCAGAAAATGTAATGAATCATGGACAAAGCTTAATTTTTGAAAAATGCTTAAAATGTATTATAATTTAGTTATTAATTGTACTCTTGATTTTGTGACAGATTGATAGGAAGTTTCGTGATGAGATGTCTCCTCAGTCTGGTCTCATGAGAGCTAAGGAGTTCTGGATGAAAGGTATCAATCATTTTAAAACTAATACCTCTCTCCTCTCCTGATCTTCTTTCATAAAAATGACTGTACATTTCCTGATACATGTTCTTCTTGTTTTACTTATTAAGTTTGAGCTGATTCCAATGAAATTTGGATTTTTTACAAATTTTTAAAGTTGCTCCAAAATTGGTAAAATTAGTACAAGGTCTTGGGCCAAATTTTGCCAAAAATGAAAAGTAGAAAATTCTGTATTTTATAATTTTTCCTGATGCACATACATGTTTTTATTTTGTGTAGAAAGTTTGAGCTAATTCCAATCAAATTTCTATTTTTAACAAATTTTTAAAGCTGCTCCAAAATTGGATAAAAGTCCCTGTACTATAGTACACGGTCTCAAGCCAAATTTTGCCAAAAGTGAAAAGTAGAGAATTTTGCATTTTTATAATTTTTTCTGATACACATACATGTTTTTATGTTGCGTAGAAAGTTTGAGCTAATTCCAATCAAATTTCAATTTTTAATGAATTTTTAAAGTTGCTCCAAAATCGGACAAAAGTCCCTGTGCTAAACATAAAAAATTTTAAAAAACAAGATGAAGTAGGATTCCAAACGACTAACGAAAATACGAAATGAAAATCCTACTCGTGACGCAAATTCTACTCTACATTGTACTTTTAATGTTA